CTGGAGACAGCTCCCTGTCCCTCACCAGTCTCAGCAGCTCCCCCTGCAGAGCACCCCCCTTGTATCCCTTCGCCCCCCCATTCAAAGTGAGCTTCCCCCCCCGCCTCTGATTGTTGAGCAACTTTTAAGCGTGAGCCGTTGACTTGAGTGATGCAATAAGAACCTCTCCCAAAGCCGAGCGTTTTGTTGCTGTAACTGACAGAGTGGGATGTGACGCGCTCCGTAAGCGGGGCTGGGCCGCGCTACAGCCTTGCAGTGGGTTGGAGCCTGACCTGGCTCTGTTTGGATTTCGTGTGTTGGAAAACTAGAATTTAGTTTGTTTCATGGGGGGGTGAATGGGATGGGAGAGGAGTCCTGACTCTTCTGCCTTGGGATATATTATTGTTATTCTTTGGCTTCCCATAGCACCTGTGAGCCCCAGTCGTGGACCATGGCCCCACTGCGCTAGGCGCTGTACAGACCCAGAACTACAGCCGCTGCTAGACCATGTGTGAGCGAGTTCGGTAGGAAAGATCACGCTTCTCGTCAAATGTTTCAGACATGTAAGACTTAGTCACGCGGGAGCCAAGTTAAACAAACAGGCGGGACTGGGACTCAGGGGCCCTGGTTTTGTTCCTGGTTCTGCCACTGGCTGACCTTGGGCAAGTGACCGCCCTGCTCCGTGCCTCAGTTTCCCCATCTTTTAAATGGGGATAATGATACTGGCCTCCTTTGTAAAGTGCTTTGAGCTCTACAGGGGAGAAGAGATAGGATTAATTACTATTATTATTAAGCTCGTTCCCTTGATTCAGCATTGGCATCACAGCCTTCACCCAAGTAAACCAGGCAAACCAGAGCAGCTTTCTGTATGCAGGGAGGGTTTCTAAAGAACACTGCTGTCACCTCCACTCATGTGAGGAACAAACCCGGCACTCCACCCTCAGCTTTGTTTATCGAGGCGTGGGGGTTTCACATGAGTCACGTTAGCTGAGTGAATTCCCAGGACTGGAATAGCAGGATGGGGCTGTGGGTCAGGACGGAGGGGCATTGGCAGAGCGGTGCGTGGGGAGCCCAGGGCTGGGATGGCAAACAGACAGGCCTAGATCCTCAAAGCTAATCCGAGCCCCAGTCTCTCTCTCACCCCCCGTCTTTTGGCCAAGCTGAGCTGTACACAACCCAAAGGAGGTGGGTAAAGGCGGCTTTAAGCCAGCTTTGAACTCCCTGATCTGGGGCCTGTCTAATTGCCAGCATATATTAAAACAAGTTCAGACCTGTGCCAATTTCCACTCATAACCTCAAGGGGCTGTTCTGGCAGCGTAGGGATTGCCCCTGCCATGCCCCGTCTCCTGGGAACTCCCCCTATGCTGGGGGGGGAGCTGCAAGGGAGAATAATGTATGGGGGCTCTGCACCCCAGAAGCACTCTCATGGCGAGGGGGAATCCTCAGGAGGCCAGATCCCATAGCTTCACAGCTACGTTATACTACCAGGATCTGGCTTATCACCTTTACAGGAACAACAGTGCACAGAGCAGGCGTGACCCTAAACTCGCACTGACACTGACTTCAGCAGATTTCCTCCGGTATTACACAACCATCAATGAGCAAAGGGCCAGGTTCCCTTGGGATTCAGCCTTGTGGCGCAATAGAACCACTATCCCACAGATCCCCATCAGAGCCGGCGAGAGGCTTTTATTCAAGTCCCGTAGCTCTCTTTCATCCTCCCGCTCTGGAAGTGAAACTTACCGGACGTTCCCCTCACCTTCCCACGTGCACTGTATTTTAACGAGACGGCCAACGCGGGTGGCAGCTGCGGAAGGAGGAGAGGAAATGTGACACATTTCCTAATGAATCCCTATGTCGAAAACTTGCACTGAATTCCCCTCATGAAATCTACAAAGGCCTCTCACCGGGTGAAGTGCTAGTGGGACCAGCAGACTCAGGTTGGTCTCCAGGGCTTTAAATAGTCTCATTTGAGGAACAACATCTGTCCTTGGCCTAAATTGGCAATTCAGGAGCTCCTGACCTCAGTATAAAGGCTCTGATGTCTTATTTAAACAGATTTCTGAGACTCTGGCTGGAGGGAGGTTGTCTGACATTGATCCGAGATCAGAACCACGTCTGGTACGGTATCTAGATACCAAGGAGGTGGACAGCTTACAAGTATCTGCCAAACTCTTCATAGAAGGCAGATGGACGGGGAGATAGGGTGCTGGACTGCAAGTCAGGAGTCCTGGGTTCTCTTCCTGTCTCTGCCTGTCACTTGCTGTGCGACGTTGGGCAAGGAACTTCATTCGCCTCTCCCTGCCTCAGTTTCCCTCTCTATAAAAAAGGCAATAACAACACTCACCCTCCTCTGCGGAGTACTTTGAAACCCTGACATGAAAGGCGCTCGAGAAGTGTAATACAGTAACGAGAGCGTCTCACATCCAAGGGTGAAGCAGGTTTCACTGGTCTGCTCTCAGGCGAGGCCAGGCTGAGACGGAAGGTGATCTAGCTCCAGTATTTGGGTTGCAAGCGCTTCCTGTTCGTTTACAAACAACTGTTTCTACTCAATTGTGTTTGGATTAATTTTCTTGTCACTGAAACCTGGTGGTTTCTCTCTCTCCAAGCTCATCTGGGCAAAGTCTAAAGCGTGGGGCTGTTGGCCTCTTTGCCAGGAAACTGGCGCAACCCCTGGAATTTCAGAACTGCGTCCGAGTCTCCAGCCATCCCTCCCCCCAGGATAAAGGGGAGGAAAACACAGCAGGGATGCGCGGAATGTGCCCCCCTTTGGGGAGGGACTCTGCGCCCCTTCTGAAGCATTAGTCAAACCTGGTTTTTGGGGACCCAAGCCTGGCATGGAAACCGAGGCGTTAGCCCCACCTAGTGGCACAGATGAGAATGGCGGGAGAATAAGACCCCCCCCCATAGCCCAGCCTCATTTCTTTACCATGCTCTCTGCTCCTCCGCCTGCTCTCTTCCGTGCTTCAGGCGGATCTCGTGGGCTTGCCATGTACCATGGATCCCTGCCTTCTCGATAAACGTGGGCCCCTGGGCACAGCACAGCAACCAGCCTGGAGAGAGGAGGAGAGAACACTCACCAGGCGAAGAGACGTTCGTCACATTGCTCAATGCACCACTGGAAGGCGCTCCGATACTACGGTCATGGGCATGGTATAAAAACCTACAGAACAGACTAGGCTCCCTCCCTTTCCCCTCTCTCTAGAGCAGTGGTTCTCAACCAGGGGCCTGGGGCCCCCTGGGGGGCCGTGAGCAGGTTTCAGGGGGGCTGCCAAGCAGGGCCAGCTTTAGACTCGCTGGGGCCCAGGGTAGAGAGCTGAAGCCCAGGGCTCTGAGCTCCACCAGCTAGGGCTGTAGTCAAAGCCTGAGCAATGTAGCTTCACGGGGGGGCCCTTTGGCATGGGGCACCAGACAATTGCCCTGTTTGCTACCCCCTAACTCCGGCCCTGGCTTTTGTATGCAGAAAACCAGATGTTGTGGCACAGGTGGGCCGTGGAGTTTTTATAGCATGTTGGTGAGCGGGGAGGGGGGCTCAGAAAGAAAAAGGTTGAGAACCCCTGCTCAGGAGTGCTTCCCTGACCCTCACAACATCCCTGTGAGGTAGAGCAGGGCTAGTCTCCCTAGGTTTATATTTGGGAAACGGTGGCAGAGAAAGACTAAGTGACTTGCCCAAGGTCACCTAGGAGTCTGAGGACAGAGCGGGGACTTGACCCTGGGTCTCTCCAGTCCCAGATGAGCCCCCTACCCACTGGGGTGGGCTGACCAGTGCTACACCACTTTGCTCTCCTTGGCTGACTTGGGTCATTGTGGTTCCACTTCATCTGAACTCTCTGACCCATGCAGCTGCCGAGGGGCTGAGGTTTGCACCAGCGGAGGCCTCTGGAGCAAGGAGCGCTGGACCCCGAACTTGGATGAACTGATAATGGCGGCTGCGCCACACCTCTCTGCAGCCTGCGTGGCAAACATTAACTCACTCAGCTGATCACTCCAGCAGGCAGGGGCTCGGCCTTCCACTCTCTGGCTTAGCGCCTCTGCATTTTCCTCGCAGGATATTTCATTCTTTGTTATCTCTGCCAGACACATCAGATTCCTCTCGGCTGGCCGGTCTTCTGCAGCCAGACGCGCCAGTATAGCCAGGGTCACTTGCCTTGGTCCAAGGTCCTTTCGGGTGCTGTTGTCCGGCTTCCAAGAAAACTGGAGCTCCATTAGAACAACCTCTGATGCCTCTCTGTTGACAGCACCCACTGCCCCTGGGCTGGGATCCTTTACATTGCTCCGTTTGCGTCTAAATCTATTCCTCCAGGGGCAGTTTTATCTTCAGATTTTAATTTTAGAGTTGAGTACCCCAAGTCATGAGAGTTTGTGTCCCACTCACAACCGGACTCGGCCCTGGGGAATACTGACAGGGGCGACCATGAGGGACACGTAAAGGCCAGATTTACCAAGGTATTCAGGTGCCTAGTGGGGTTTACAGCAGCGCAGATGCCTAACTCCCACTGGAAGTTACTAGAGCCCAGATTGTCAACGGTATTTAGGTGATAACTTCCATTGAAATCAATGGGCGCCAGGGGCCCAAACACCTGTGAGGATGCGGGCCTAGGCTCCTAGCTTCATTGTAGGCTCCTAAACCCCTTTGAGAATCTGGCCCTAAATCATGACCTTCTCCAAAACACGATGTCATAAGAACAGCCTTACTGGGTCAGACCAAAGGTCCATCCAGCCCTGTATCCTGTCTGCTGACAGTGGCCAATGCCAGGTGCCCCAGAGGGAGTGAACCTAACAGGTAATGATCAAGTGATCTCTCTCCTGCCATCCATCTCCACCCTCTGACAAACAGAGGCTAGGGACACCATTCCTGACCCCTCCTGGCTAATAGCCATGAATGGACTTAACCTCCATGAATTTATCCAGTTCTCTTTTAAACACTGTTATAGTCCTAGCCTTCACAACCTCCTCAGGCAAGGAGTTCCACGGGTTGACTGTGCGCTGTGTGAAGAAGAACTTCCTTGTATTTGTTTTAAACATTCTGAACACACACCCACACTTTCTCCCTTTCACTCACACCAGCCCTTTACTTTTCTTTCTGACCAGTTACATTCCAGATTTACCGGTGTCACTTGGCCACCTTTGCTCTTACCCTAATAGCCACAGGGTGGCTTCCCTGAGATCTCAGACGATGCCTCCCCGAAACCCCCTTCCCTTGGCCAAAGTTCTGTCTCACGGCCTTGCCCCAGGTCTAGGGCTAGCAGAGGGCTGCCATAACCCCACCACTGAATTTAACAGGGGCAAAAAAAGGTGCTGGCTTGCAGCCCTGGAGACCAAAGTCCTGGCTTCCTCCCCAGCACAGGTGCGCAGAGAGAGGAATCAGGTTGCAGCGGTTCCTCCAGTGACTTGGCCTATCCTGGAGGGAGATTTGCTAAGGAGGAAGTTCACTCAATGGCCCATTCAGTTTTGCGGGCAGGGAAGGGGATTTTTCCATTGTTTGTTCTTCAGACATGAGCAGTTGGGGAATGAACTCTGCCTGCCCTTTTGTGTTTGAAGAGCAAACAAATAATGCAGAAATCCCCTTCCAGGGAGGCCAGGTTCAGCAGCTGGGCTGGGCTGCTTCCTCCCTGGGCTGTTTGTGTTGAGAAATCATGAGCTAGCCCCTGGCACCGCTACAACCAAAAGGCCGTTCCAGGCTGAGCGCTCGACAGCTGTTGCAAATTTCCTCCTAACTCTCGCTTTCCTGGAAATCTCCTTTTTTCCCCTTCATCCCCCACCCCCAAAGCTCTGTAATAAAAGGGAGGTCTCCGCTTTCACTCCCAGCAGAGCTGCCACCACCAAGACAAGACACTGCCCCGGACTTCGAGACAGATCCACCCGCGTCTCTGCAGCCAGCATGGGTCACCTTTCGCCCTTCCTAGCTCTGGTTGTTTTGCTGGGCATCTCGGTGTGTGGTGAGTGCATCCGTTCTCTGACCCTTCCCATACTCCGTTCTCTTTTCGGACTCATCCGGCCATGGCAGAGAGTGACGCGGGATTGCATGGGAGGGGCTCAGGTGGGCACCGCAGGGCATGCCTAACTAAGAACTGACACAATAAGTGAAGCACTTGGGTATCTGAGCCGTAGTAATGTGCTTCCTTGCTACATAAAGGGGCAACAATTTAACTTTATAGTCTCAGCATCAGGCCTAGGGGAACCTAGGACATTTCACCGCTTTCTCCAGCCCCTTCCAGCTGAGGATCTCAAAGCACTTTACCAACCCTCTATCTAATCTTATCTATAGACAATACAGCTTCACAACCCCCCCTCGTGACAGGGAAACCGAGGCACAGAGGTGGAATGCTTTGGCCTAGCTCACACTGTGAATCCGGGTCAGAATCTGGACTAGAACCCTGTCTCAAACCTATAGACAATGCAGCTTCATCAGGCTCTGTCTCCCAAACGCCTAAACCCATAAACTAGGGTGGGCTTCTCAGGACACAACTCCCAGAGGCCACCAGCTGCAGGTATTTTTTGCAGGCCAAAAGGAATCATCTGAGCTCCTGCATTGCACAAGCCAGAGATACTCAGCCAGGGAGTCCTGCACTGAGCAGAGGCTGGAGAGGGGAGGCAGTTTGAGACAATGTGGGTAAACTGAGGGAGGCATAGAACAAAACATATTTCTGCTGGTGCAAAACTGTGAGGGGGCGGGAGTGAAAGGCGGGTTAAATACCCTGCCCATCTGGGGAGAGATGGGGGTGGTGGAGCTGATAACAGAAAAGTTTGGGTGTGGAATCCGCTCGCTTGCCCTGATTTTTTTTGCTGCAATAGAATCTGATTCCCTGGAAACCAAAAAGCATCTTGGGGTCTAGATAGGACGAGGCTAATAATAACAATCCAGAGTGCGTTTTCATCTGTGTCTCTCCAAGCGCTTTCCAACAGAAGGGTCATGACCACCATTTTACATATGGGGAAACTGAGGCCCAGAGACACGAAGTGACTTGTCCACGGTCACCCAGCAGACCAGTGGCAGAACTCACCTCTCCTGAGTCCCAGCCCATTGCACTAGCCACTAGCCAACACAGCCTCCCCTTGGGTTAGGATACCATGGTGACTGTTGCTGGATGGATCTACAGCTGAGGTTTCCTCCATACCAGGGACTGAGATGGGGTGGGGGCTGGGGACAGTGTTCATCTTCTAGGTCGCTGAGCTGGGATCATGTACTACAATCGGGGCGGATCTTTCCCATGGTGGATGCAGGTACTGGCCGTTGGTGAATATTGACTAAGGCCTCCTGCTATTCTCCCAAGCATGCAGTCGATCCACTGCTGCAGAACATTCGGAAAAATCTTCATCTGAAACACCTGGAAGCATCTCACGTTTTGTACGTGGGGCTTTCTTTTTAGTTTCTTCTTCTTCTTCAAGTTGCTGAAGGGAAGAGAGATTTTCAAAGGTCCAGGGAAAAAAAATCGGATTGTCCAACCAGCCAGCAGAGCTCTGCAGACACAATCCAATCGGCTGCACCGTGAGCCTCGGCAAAACTATTTTTGACCATTATTTGCACAGGCAGTCTGATTGGTTAACACATGCTCTGCCCGCGTTTGTTTTTAAAAAGCCAGGGGGGGAAGGTGATAGAAACTGGCTGATTCATCCTGGACCGATTTCAGGCCATCGCAAGAGAGACTCGTATGTGACGATACAGATGCGTTACAACCGAGCACTTGCTGAAGGTCCAACTTGCCTGCCCCGCAGTTCCCCCCTTGTGCTTGAAGGCAAACGCGCCCTTGTAACTGAATCAGGCAGAGGAGGGTCTCAAACCTGTCTGTCTTACACCCCAGGGGAGCGCCCCAACCAGCTGGCTGCTCTGGGGTGGGCCTCTAAAGGTCTCGCTGGAGAACACAAACAAACTGTCCACGAAACAGAATTCTTGTTTCTCATCCATCGGAAGAGAAGATGCTCAGACCCCCCTGGGGAATGAGGGCCTGATACGTCCCTTAGCTAGATGCCCTGCTCTGGATGTACTCACCGTTAACGCTAAGGGGAGATGCTCCCACAGGAAAGGAAGGCTGGGCAGAGCAGGTTCAGTGGCTAACGTTCTGTTTCTCCTCCCATCAGGGGGTCGCCCCAGGGGCCGTATTCTCGGGGGCTACGAAGCTCGTCCCCACCTGAAACCCTACATGGCTTCCCTGCAGGTGGATGGGAAGCATGTGTGCGGCGGGTTCCTGATCGCCGAGCAGTGGGTGCTGAGCGCAGCTCACTGCCTGGAAGACAAGTGAGTACCGGCCTTCGCGTCTGATGGGGCGGGAGCGCGCTGCGGGAGAGAAAGGGGGCGTGGAGGTGGGGCCAGCTGGTTCTAATACAGACCCCAGTAGTTGTTTCAGGGTCGTTTGAGGGTCACTATGAAGGGAAAGCCCAGGGCCCAACAAGTACTGAGGCTGGATTCCCCTGTCATCCAAAGAACACATGTTCCTTCCTAGCTGGGGCTGGGTTGACTCTCCATGGCTGGGGAAAGGCCGAGGTTGACTACTGGTGATCGCTGTATATTGGGGTGAACTGTACAGCCGGGAGGGACCAGGACGCTCTCGCAGCTCAGTGTGGTGGGTGAGCAGAGCGCCTCACGCTACCGTCTCCATCTCGACTGCAGGCAAGGCAAGCCGTTCCAGGTCCTTCTGGGAGCCCACTCTCTCTCGCAGCCAGAACCGCACAAGCGCCTTTATGAGGTGCGCGCGGAGATCGGCCACCCTGGCAGCAGCACGGAGACCTACGACGACGACCTCCTTCTCCTCCAGGTGAGCACGACCCACAGCGGCACCATCCCCCGCTGCAGGCATGGTGCCTCCCAGACCCTACTGGAGTCAATGGGGGGGGAGGGGGGGAAACTCCCACTGACTCCCGTGGGCTTCGGGCCAGGCCCAGCTCCTCACAGGCACCGAACTCCTGTTGATTTCACAGCTGAGTCTTGCTTGACTGGACTGAGATGCAACAGGCCTGATACCCCACAGACATCTCTGGCTGGGGTCACCCCTGATTCACCCCACTGCAAGGGAGAGGAGGATGAAGCCCAAGGCATTGGCAAGGATAGGGCCCGTTCTATCCACCAGCTGAGGGAGAACTCTCCCCACACGGCTGCAGCAGGGACTTCAGTCACATTGGCACTGACTCCGTGGGTGCTCTGGGGCTGGAGCCCCCACAGGGGAAAAAAATAGTGGGTGCTCAGCATCCATCAGCCACCCTCTGATCTGCTGGTAGGCGCTGGAGGGAGGGGGTGGAGTGGGGGCAGGAAGAGACGGAGTGAGGGTGGGGTCTTGGGGGGCAGAGTGGGGGCAGGGCCTCAGGGCACAGCGGGAGTGGAGCACCCACCTTGAAAAATGAAAAATGTGTCCCGTCACCATTAGTTGGGGTATTTCCCAGGTGATCGTCACGTACCCTGTGCTAACGCAGCGCAGCTCTGTCCCCCTCTAGTGGCCACACCCGGTACAGGTTTGAGTCCCCTCCTGGTCCTTTTAGCTCAAGCTGTAGAGAGACTCCTGCTGGAAGATCCAGAGGTCCCAGGTGTTATCCCCGCAGAGCGCCCAGCCAGGGGCAGCGTTACAGCTACAGAGTCTGTCTCTCTCACCCCAACTGACCCTTACCTCTTTGCCTCCCAAATCAGCTAGAGGAGAAAGCGCTCCTCAACGAGCACGTGAAGATCCTGCCCTTCCAGAGGCAAGACAGGGATGTCCCTGCCGACACCGTGTGCGAGGTGGCCGGCTGGGGTGAAATGAGCCACACTGGGAAACTGCCTGACAAACTGCAGCAGGTGGCGCGTCCGGTGATCAGCCGGGAGATCTGCAACCGCAGGATCCACCACGACAACACCATCACAGAGAAGATGATGTGCACCGACTCCAGGAAGAAGGACACCTGCCCGGTATCTATCTCTGGGAGAAATCCCTCGGCTCATTTCTCTTGCCTGGGGGGGTCAGAGCTGCGTCTATGCGCTTGGGTGTATCCGTGCGAACAGGCGTAGGTGTGGGTGTCTGTGCAGGTGTGTGTGTGTATGATTATTCTGGTAGCCTACCTATCCTCCTGCTCCCGGGGGTAAAACCAGAAGCACGTCACTTCTGGAGTCCTGGGTCCTTTGCTCTCTCCCTGCAGAGCTCTGGGGCATCATTTTCCTCTTAGGCTGGAGTCAGGCCTGATTTTCACCTGTGTAAGAGAGCAGAATCAGGCCCTGAGTGTCACCCCCTTGCTGTTGGAAAGAGAGAAGCAGCAAAGTCCTAGTTTGTATGGAGCACATGTACAATCCCATAGATCTCAGAGTGCTCCCCGGAGGTGGGTCTCTCTTATTAGCCCCATTTTACAGATGAGGAACCCGAGGCACAGATACTTACCATTGGTCACTCTGCAAATCAGTGGCCGGATCACCACTGAAGTAAATGGGACCAGGATTTCCCCCTAGATCTCCTGGCTGTTACACCCGAATCCACTTCACCAAACAGCCTCGCCTGGATACACGAATAAGGGGAATAACTAAAAGCCTAGATCCTTCCCCCTGCTTTTAGGGCTTGTCCACACAAAGAGCTATTACAGAGTAAACTATTTCTGATAACTCCATGTGTGGACACTCTTATTCTGAATTAGCTTAGTCCCGTGGATTAAACTACTGCACCAGTGAATTAAGGTGATTCTGAACGAGGCACTCTCATTCCAGAATAAGCGCATCCACCCATGGAGTTAATCTGCTTTAAACTCACACCCTGGATTCATTTTCACATGTAGCCAAACCCTTAGAGTCAGGTTCTGGCCCATCTCACCAATGACACCTATGCAAGACGGGCGTCGACTGCGCCCGCCTTCACTCCAGAGCATTTGCCACAGGTGGAATTGGCAGCACAAGTTGTAGCATCTTGACCTAGCTGCCCCGCCGCCCCCATGAACACGTTGCAAAGCTGAATACAAGATAATTATCAGCATGTGAGCAAACACGCAGGGGTGCTTAATAAAACTTTGAGCTTATCTTCCAGGAAGCCACCCGGCAGGCAGCTGTGGTGCAAGTTACACAGCCCTTGCTACCTTGGAGCGGGGAGTTTGGTTATTTTTTAACCCCACATAACTTGTTTTCTGTTCAAAATGAATCGAACCATTCGGCGAGGTGGAAGGGTGGGGAGGAAGTAACCGTGATTAGATCCAAGCGCTGTGTTATGGCTCGAGAGACCACACGGCCTAGTGGATAGGGAATGGAACTGGGAACCGAAAAACCTAGTTAGGTACAAAGGACTTGCCAGATCCATCTAGCCCAGTAGATAACAGGAACCAGAACCAGTTGCTTCGGGGGAACATGCAAGAATTCCACCACAGGCAGATGTGGGACATTCTGTTCCCCCTTCCCCCCCATTCAGTCTCATCCTGATCTGATAGGTAGGGATTAGTTCAAGCCCTGAAGCCTGAGGTTTAGCATCATTAATGATGACCTATTAAATTGGGATATTCCTGATATCCCTATAAATGTCCCATCTCCTTTCGGGATCTATTCCTGCCTCTGCCGTGTGTGCCTGGGCCGATCGCTCTGCTCTTCTGTGCCTCCAGTTCCCCTCCTGTCCCTTGTCTATTTAGCCTGTGGGTTCCTCGGGACGGGGTGTGTCATGCTTCGGGTCTGTGCAGCACCTGGCACAATAGGGCCTTGATCTCAGCTGGAGCCTCTTTTATCAAATATTGCATTATTTGATGCAATACAAATAACAGGGCAAGCTTCCCCCCACCATCTTGGACAAGGAGGGAGGGGTGTATGTAACAGACGCCCGTCTAGCCTGGGAAGGGTGGTGATGGGTAGCCATGCCCAGCGTGGGCTGATGGGCGAGGAAGGCTGGCAGACAGCCTGGCTCCCAGGACTAGGGAGTTGACCCAGAAGGGGCGGGAAGAGGCACAGTGCCAAGAGGCTGATCCTGTGACTTGATTCTCCAGGGGGATTCCGGCGGGCCGCTCGTTTGCAATGGGATCGCCGAAGGGGTGGTGGCTGCCGGCTCTCGGGTCTGTGGGAACCACAAGAAGCCCGGAATCTACACCCGGATCCCCCCCTACGTCGACTGGATCGAGAGAGTCATGGCTTCAGCTAACTGAAGGCGGACGGGTCGGCCCTGGATTGGAAGGGACCCGCAGGGGCACACAGCAGACTGCACGCTATTTCCCACGGGCAGGGCTAGCGGCTAGCATGGCAGAGAGCACTCAGACACTGCAAACGTCCATGTAACCGGACATCGGGGGCTTATAGGGGTGCCCTACCCCTGCTTTCAGCTCGCCTCGCAATCAGATACGCAATCAGATAAGCTCAGTGCAGCACTTCCCCGCAAGCAGCATCCCGGAGAGGGGAGGAGACGCCCTGAGCCAGCTGGACGACTGGCTCCTTCCACCAACACAACAGCTGCTCCTGGAAACCACCCGGCCCAGCTCTCCTGTCTGCAAAGAGATGTGTCTGGCCTGCCAAAGGGGTGCTTTGCAAGGGGGTGGGAAGGGGAAGAGGTTGGTCACCCTACAGGATGGGGCTCAAGGCAGGATTTCAGGTGGCATCTTGTCAACTCTGCCCTCCCCGGCGCAAGCCAGCTCCAGTGTGGCTGTTAACAGTGAGCACAAGTATTGCAATAAAAGGGAACTGATTGTAACTGTGGGTCACCAGAGTCCTTGGGGTTGCACAGATGTGACACACTGGGGGTCGAATTGGGAGGGGGGTTCCTGGGGGAGGGGAAAGTGTAACAGGATCTTTCCTCATCCCACATCAGACGTGGCCCTTCCTCAGTTTCCCCACGTGGTTCACTCACAGTCTCATGTTCTGGTGGCACTTCACTCTCCTGCTCTTGGATGTGAGATTCTCATGCCGCTCCGTGATTTAGCCCTCTGGCCAAACCAGAGTCCAGAGGCCATTCCCTTCCCTGCCCCTCCCCGCCCCACACACACTGTTGGAGAGGGTGGGGGGGACAAAACGCCAACTAAACAAGGCAGACGTCCAGCAACCTCACGCCGGCTCTTCCCTTGGTCAATGGGGGCCACACAACGCGCCACCCTCACCAAGCTACAGTTCCCCTTCCGGTCCAGTCCTGGCCTCACGGGTTCATTGGCACTGGGCAAGAGAAGACAGCATGGGGGAGGGCACCGTTTCCTCCCTGGACGGCCCAGCCTGGCCCCCTGAGCAAGCACAAGTCTCAATTCCCTTCCACGCCAGCCTGCCCAGGCTACTTCCTTCAGGAGCTGTCCCTCCTGCAGGCCTCCTAATTCCCTTCCGAGGCAGGGGCTGCTGTCCCCGGCTGCGGGCCTTGCCCTCTGGCTGGCGGAGAGATTCCTCTCCGGCCTCCCTGCAGCTCTCAGCCGTGCTCACCTGCCCCAACCCATCAGCTGGGAGGCAGATCCCTAGGCACTGGTGGGGCTGAGCGCAACTCCCCTTAAAGGGCCAGTGCACCCTGGGACGGGAGGTGCTGATTTATTTAGTGCTGACGCCACAGCCTTCGGGGTTGAAGGCGTCTGCCCACTGCACAGACGGCGGCGGGGTGAGAATCCCGCACGGCGCACCAGACCCTGTCCTGGAGGGATGAGAGGGGAGCTGTTTCCGAGCAGGCCAATGGGTGCTGGCTGGGGAGGGAGGGTTTGGAGCGGGCACTTTTTCCACTGGGGCCGGGATGGAGACTCATCAAACTTGTCACCTAGGCTGGATCAGAACCGAGAGGCCAAAGAAGGACTCTCTCCTGGCCACCTGTGGTTGCTACTATTGTACTGATGAGTATTGGGTAGGTAGTGCCAAGAAATGCTTGGTCCTTGACACCATGTGGAAGACACGGTTCCTGTCTCAATGGGCTTCCAGTCTGGGGCAGTTTTCCCGCTGAGGACATCTACTGATCTCTCCCAGCCTATCTCCCAACCCTCTGAAGGTCTCATTCACCCCTAGTGTAGCTTCATTGACTTCCAGGCAGCTACACCAGGGATGAATTTGGCTTCAACGCTCATGGGGAGTCTCCTTGTCTGAAAGGAAGGCTGCATAGACAGACGGGAATCACCAGACTGGATCAGAACCGAGGTCCATCATCCTATTTCTGACCAGTGGCCAGCACTGGCTGCTTCAGAGGAAGGTGTAAGATCTATACAGTAGGAAGTTATGACATCATCTTTTCTAATTGCCGTCGGTTAGAGGTTGGTTTACCCCTGGAAGCAGGGGGGTTTATATCACCATAGCTCTTGAGCTCATTGGTATCTTGTGGCCGTAAGTTCCACAGGCTCATTGTGCCAGTTTTAGTGCCAGCTGCCATTCAAAGAAAAGAGAACCTGGTGAACCAGGGGTCTGTGGTGGTTTTGCATGGGAGCGGGTGGGAATCCCAGTTGAGCCATGCTGGTTTGTAGCATCTGCCAGGGAGGGGGAAACTTTCAAACTGATGGCAAAGTTCAACTGAGCAAAATAAAAACCCAGCTACAAACCTCTGCCAGGTCCACTGGGAAATGGTCGTGCCCAGTTGTGGGTTCTCCCTGGAGGCCTTGATGCCTCTGGAGATGGCAAGGAGAGGAACTAAGATGGCTGCTGGATGGACTTAAAAAACTGCAAACGTCTCCCAAACTTTGCTTCCCCAGACCAAGGCAGATCCATGTCTGAGATGCGGGGGGCATCCAGGGGGTCCGATGGTTCTGAACTTGGAGCTGGACAGTTACATAAACAAACCTCCATCTCACCAGCTGCCCCTCCCAGCCGCCTCCAGGCCAAAGCCCGACTGCTGTGCATTCCCGATGCAGTCCGCTCGGTCGCAGCGGA